TCATCAAACGCAGCCAGGCGAGAGCGGAGCGTGCGCAGCGAGAGCTCGCAGTGATGACAATCAGCTGCTGGAAAGCTGACCGTGCATGCTCTGCTCCTAAACAAACGACACACACATCGTGTGTATCCCCTGCTGCCAGATATCGTGGGCAGGGAGAAACACAGCGTTTGTAATGCCGTTCGCTCGCCATAGACTTTCTCATTGTTTTATATATATGAGTGCTTGTGCGGACAGACAACAGTAAATAGACAGACACATACACAGAGCGCTACTGAAGAGCAGAAGCTGGTTTGCGCCCGGCCGGATGTGCCTTTATGCTTTCTGGTGCTTACGTCACCCTGCTCGTGACGTCTCGCTGCTCCATTGGACGGATTTGACACGTGCTTCAGAACGCGGTCACGCAAGGGCGTTCCCAAAGCGACTCGACGCAGCGTCTCGTTCCCTCGGGGAACCATGGTTACATACGTAACCTAGAGACGTTTTTGCTCAAGAAACTTTGTTATGCTTCAGCTCCTCTGTTTGTAATCAGATAATTTTAATCTGCTAAATTCTCAGTCCAAGGATCCAGAAAGCAAATGCATTCCACAGTCAGTCCCAAACAGTACTAATGCAGAATAAACTCAGGTGATTACATGGCAGACTCATGTCTATTTTTCAGTGAATTATTAATTCCAATGTGTATTTAACTTACTTAAATTAAAATGTATTCCTTAATGAGTAAACCTTTTAAATTAGCACCAAACTACAGAATACATCTTTAATACAAGTGTTTCCTGTATATTTTCACCTTCAGATTGAGAGCATCTCCAGTGTCCCTAACGTGACGGTCGGTTACTATGTGACCCGTGGAGAGATGGTGTACACTGCTTCAGTGGTTGTGGAGGCTCTAAGCGTCTATGGTATTGAGAGATTGATGGCAGACATCCGGCAGTTTGTGCCACTGGTGCAGGCGATTCCCATCCCACCAGTCCCCTGGAGACCCAGTCCTGCCATCTCACTGATGCTGAAGACAGGTTAGGCTCACAGCTCAATCTCTGTCACCGATGTCACTAATGTGCCATTGCTGCCACACATATCTATCTATCTATCTATCTATCTATCTATCTATCTATCTATCTATCTATCTATCTATCTATCTATCTATAGTGGGTTTTCTTCTGCATTATGTTTTGTTAATTAAATAGACCCCACATATAATAACACGAGGATGCAGTCCAGAGCTGATTTATATTCTGTTTCTCTCAGTTTCTCGCTATGAAATCTAGCAAAAGAGAGAGCGCGTATAGAAATTACATCAGCTTTGCCCTCACGCTTACATGACGTAACTTACATAATAGTGCTTCCTTAACATTTTATAGTTTAACAGACTGAAAAAAAGGGTAAAACAAAACCAATAACAAAAAAATACAGATATACACATATAAAGAAATGAAAATGACACTATTATCCTTATGATCACATTCCAATACAGATTTCAAAATAAAATAATATATACAGTATACTTTGAATGCTGTGTCACTTGGTGAAGTTATTTAATATGAATTCATTGTTTATAGACAATAGTAACACTGTTACTATTGTAACAGTGGAGACAACACAGGAAACTTCCACTTCCACAAAGGTTTATTAACACATCAGAGGTAAGAGAGCAGATGATGGCTGATGGTAAGTAGATGATCTTGAGAGAAGAGCAAATTAGCTGAGTTTCTCTTTGCAGGATGGCTGACAGCAGAGCTGGGTCTGGTATATCATAGCGATCTACACAGGATCTCTCTTTGGGCCCATATCCTTCCCAATCCACCAAGTATTCAAGGCAGCTGCCTCGTCGCCGGGTGTCCAGGATGGTGTTGACTCAATAGAAGAGTTGATCGTCGATGACCTCTAGAGGAGGAGATGGCATGTCAGGAATGCCAGATCTTGTGGAAGGAGAGACCAGAGGGTTAGTGAAGGGTTTGAGAAGGGATGCATGGAAGGTTGTTGCAATACGGTAATGTGAAGGTAAGTCAAGTTGGTAAGTGACTTCGCTGATCTGCCTTCAGATGGTGAAGGGACCTATATAGCAGGGACAGGGCAGTCGAAGATGGATGTCCCTGGTCGAGAGCCAGACCTTCTGTCCCAGATAGTACTGGTGAGCGGTGGAATGGCAGGTGTAGACTTGGCTCTTCTGTCTCCGAACTGCCCTTTGCAGATGGACGTGAGCCAAGTCCCAGACCCTCTCGTTCTCTTGGAACAAGTGGTTCACAGTTGGATCATCTGATGGCTCTCCTGACTAGGGAAACAGGGGTGGTTGGAAACCGAGTATGAAATGGAATGGTGTTAGGCCTGTGGTGTTCTGATGCAGAGTGTTCTGTGCATATTCAGCCCATAGAAGGTAGCGGCTCCAGCTGTGCTGGAGGTCGTAGAAATAGGGCCGCAGGTATCTCCCGATCTCCTGAATCGTACACTCAGTCTGGCCGTTGGTTTATGGATGATATCCTGATGACAAACTCACAGAGATTCCCAGGAGTTGGAATAATGATTGCCACACTCTGGAATTGAATTTTGGTCCACTATCTGAGACAATATCTTCAGGTAGCCCGAAGTGTCTAAAGGAGATCAGCGGTCTCAAAAGCGGTGGGTAGTCGCTTCAGAGGGATGAATTTGCAGGCTTTTGAGAACCAGTGAGGAGGGCAGTCTCATTCCAGCTGCTGGTGGCCACCAGAGTGTGAAACTGGCAGGCATATTCACTCACTGAAGATTTACTTTGGCGTAGCTGGAAGAGTTGATTATGGACAGACAATGATGTAGCGGTCTGGCCGAAAACCTCCTTCAAATGGCTTACAAAAGCTGAGAGTGAATGGAGAACTGGGCCTTTGGCATCTCAAATGGATCTTGCCCATTGCAGAGCACGTCCAGATAATAGCAAGATGATATGCTATTTTGGCTCAGGCGCTGGGGAAAAGTTGAGGCTGCATCTCAAAGTAGAGAGAGCATTGTAGCAGAAACCCGATAGATATACATATATAAAGAAATGAAAATGACACTATTATCCTTATGATCACATTCCAATACAGATTTCAAAATAAAATAATATATACAGTATACTTTGAATGCTGTGTCACTTGGTGACGTTATTTAATATGAATTCATTGTTTATAGACAATAGTAACACTGTTACTATTGTAACAGTGGAGACAACACAGGAAACTTCCACTTCCACAAAGGTTTATTAACACATCAGAGGTAAGAGAGCAGATGATGGCTGATGGTAAGTAGATGATCTTGAGAGAAGAGCAAATTAGCTGAGTTTCTCTTTGCAGAATGGCTGACAGCAGAGCTGGGTCTGGTATATCATAGCGATCTACACAGGATCTCTCTTTGGGCCCATATCCTTCCCAATCCACCAAGTATTCAAGGCAGCTGCCTCGTCGCCGGGTGTCCAGGATGGTGTTGACTCAATAGAAGAGTTGATCGTCGATGACCTCTAGAGGAGGAGATGGCATGTCAGGAATGCCAGATCTTGTGGAAGGAGAGACCAGAGGGTTAGTGAAGGGTTTGAGAAGGGATGCATGGAAGGTTGTTGCAATACGGTAATGTGAAGGTAAGTCAAGTTGGTAAGTGACTTCGCTGATCTGCCTTCAGATGGTGAAGGGACCTATATAGCAGGGACAGGGCAGTCGAAGATGGATGTCCCTGGTCGAGAGCCAGACCTTCTGTCCCAGATAGTACTGGTGAGCGGTGGAATGGCAGGTGTAGACTTGGCTCTTCTGTCTCCGAACTGCCCTTTGCAGATGGACGTGAGCCAAGTCCCAGACCCTCTCGTTCTCTTGGAACCAGTGGTTCACAGTTGGATCATCTGATGGCTCTCCTGACTAGGGAAACAGGGGTGGTTGGAAACCGAGTATGAAATGGAATGGTGTTAGGCCTGTGGTGTTCTGATGCAGAGTGTTCTGTGCATATTCAGCCCATAGAAGGTAGCGGCTCCAGCTGTGCTGGAGGTCATAGAAATAGGGCCGCAGGTATCTCCCGATCTCCTGAATCGTACACTCAGTCTGGCCGTTGGTTTATGGATGATATCCTGATGACAAACTCACAGAGATTCCCAGGAGTTGGAATAATGATTGCCACACTCTGGAATTGAATTTTGGTCTACTATCTGAGACAATATCTTCAGGTAGCCCGAAGTGTCTAAAAGAGATCAGCGGTCTCAAAAGCGGTGGGTAGTCGCTTCAGAGGGATGAATTTGCAGGCTTTTGAGAACCAGTGAGGAGGGCAGTCTCATTCCAGCTGCTGGTGGCCACCAGAGTGTGAAACTGGCAGGCATATTCACTCACTGAAGATTTACTTTGGCGTAGCTGGAAGAGTTGATTATGGACAGACAATGATGTAGCGGTCTGGCCGAAAACCTCCTTCAAATGGCTTACAAAAGCTGAGAGTGAATGGAGAACTGGGCCTTTGGCATCTCAAATGGATCTTGCCCATTGCAGAGCACGTCCAGATAATAGCAAGATGATATGCTATTTTGGCTCAGGCGCTGGGGAAAAGTTGAGGCTGCATCTCAAAGTAGAGAGAGCATTGTAGCAGAAACCCGATGCATTCCTCTGCCTTGCCTGAATAGGTCGCTGGACGGGGCATGGGACTGGCGCAGGCAGATAGCGAAGAAATGTATGTCGGAGGGAGTAATGAATGACGGAGTGCTTCAATAAGTTCGGTGAAAGGATCCAGATTTTGGTCATCGCGTGCTACTATGGGGTGTTGCATGTTGGTCTGGTCTTCTATTAGCAAAACAGAAGGAGACAACACAGGAAACTTCCACTTAACAAAAGTTTATTAACACAACTGAGGTAAGAGAGCAGGTGATGGCTGATGGTAAGTAGATGATCTTGAGAGAAGTTCCATTTAGCTGAATTAACTGAGTTTCAGGAAGGACAGGTGCAGTGCATCAAAACTCTGGGGATTGGGAATGAGTGGGCAGAGCTGAAGGATCTGGCGTTGACGGTGACTCTGTGACAAATGCATTACAATAACGTCCATTAGTCAACATTAGTTAATGCATTAATTAACAATGATCAATACATTTATTACAGTATTTATTCATCTTTGTTAATATTAGGTAAAAAAATCAGGGGTCATCAAACTTGGTCCTTGAGGGCCGGTGTCCTGCAGAGTTTAGCGCCAACCCTAATCAAACA